TCAGACTGTTATATAATAGCCATTGTACTTTTCTCTTTCTACTTAATAATTTAATTACGTGAAATATTGTCAATTTTATTTAGCCACCTTCAAAGTCATAAGGAGGAGAGGCTAAGTTGGACATATATGCATTTTTATGTACAGTCAACAGAACGTCAGGTTATACAAATCTGTCAAATTCCCCACTTGATTTTTAACGATTCGAAAGTAGAGTTTAAAATCAACTACAGAAATATGACATATTGTGATAATCTGACGTGCAACCAGTGTGTACGCTCACGGATTTCTCGGCGAACCGTATAGGTACCTACCTTTTACCTAACTTTTTTTTTATTCGAAAGCTTATAGACCTGATTTGGTTATATTCTATTAATATCGGAATTGTATTAGCGGTTAAATTTTATTATCTATCTAACTGCAAGCGTTCTGCTTAGTAACAAAAAAAAATTTACGACATATTTACGTCGTCGAAAAAACAGATCGCATATTTGGCTTTCCTATAATTTTTGTTAAGTGCAAAACATTTTTTTTTTAAATATTAATACTCTTTAAAAAAAATACTTTGATAAAAAATACTGATATCAAATTATAATGAAGTCGAGCCAGTTTCTGAATAGAGAAAAGTACAAAATCTAAACTGATTATTCTCAAAAACTAAGTATTTCACATTTCACAAGTCTAAAGTCCTTAAAAAAAAAACTAAAATAGAAAACGAAAACCTATTTAAGTGACGTTTAAGTACAGTTTGAAACATTCCTAACTTCAAATAAATTTTCAATTTAGAAACCGGGGGTAACTCTCCGCCAGACTTCAATAGAATTTTCATTAAAGTCTGGCTGGAAAAAATACCTATTGGACTATGAAAACACAGTTGTTGAAACACAGATACATGATAAGACAGATGCTTTATAGTAAGGTGTACTAAAATAGTATAACATTTATGGTAATCATCAATCAATAACTATCTATAACAAATTTTGTAGACAAAAAAAAATTGTTAATTCCATAAATTTTCAACATAATATCAAGTAATAAATTGCCAAATAAACTTCTATATCTTCTTCTTCTTAACTTTAATGGCACTGCGTCACCACATTACTGCCAACTTCACGTAGGAGACTATTACACGATTTAAATACATTCATTCATCAAAACAATTTTGAATTACCAATTCTATCTTTCTACATAGATTTACCAAAAACAACTTAATACGTTAATACGATTTTAATACGTTAATTAAGAAATAATTTAATATAAACAATGATTTAAACATAATCATATTGAATCTAACTTCTATATCTATAATGATATGAATTACAGGCTAATTTAAATATCATCATTCAGACAGACATAAACAAAGACAAAAGTTCATACGTAAAGTAAAAGCAATGCCGGGCACACATTCTCATAGCATTTTTGCATTGAATTCGAAGTCAATGACAGCTGTATCGATGTATCAGTTACACGGTAGACCTACTGAAAAAACATAACCCAATTAAATGGCAAAGACATTTACATATAAAAAAAACGAAACGAAATCTTTTTCATTGTAAAACTTCATTGTGTGCCACAAAAATGCACAAAACGATATATAATTCGCTACAGTTTCGAAGAAATATTTATCGTTTTCGTCGATACCTATTGGTATATTTGAAAATTACCCTCCACAAACAAACAAGGTTAGAAACTTTATCTCTTCAAATTATTAGTATAGATATACTAAACAAAACGAAAACGAGGTAGACCTTACAAACATTGGGCCGATGACATATCGGCGCAGGCAGGAACTCGGTGGTACATCAGGGCAAAGGACAGAAAGGAGTGGTCAGGGATGGAGGAGGCCTTTACCCTTATTAGGGATTCTCAATAATAAAAATATCAATGGATAATGATCAAAATTGGAAAGTGAATAATTATGAAATTCAAGCAAATTTAATTTAATGATATACATAATTATTTTTTCTTAATAAAATTCAAATATTATAAATGACAAATTAATAATGTATTAGTATTGAATAATGAATGAATTTAAATCCTATATATTTAATCCTATGAAACTGAAATTTTTATGAGAATCAATAAAAAGGCTTTTTTATTTATTATTTATTTACTAAACAAAACATTGCGGCGTTCCTATTGCTAATCGTATTTAATGTTTTGAGCCGGTACTAGAAACAATGAAGACGGAATAGAACGATGACTGAATAATTTGATACTTGTATGTAAACAAAAAGAGCGACAAATCCAAAAGTCATCGAGCCGTGACCGACGGCTGGTGTAATTGAAATCGGCATCTGTTGCCCAAATTAACACTACTGAGGAAGTGCGTGAATTCCGTATTATACCTTTCCTCTATGAAGATATCTATTGTAAAATAACATTTGATTAATTACCCTTTTACTTTATGGAAAGGTAATTAGGTAATTAATTGTCAGTTTCTTTGTGTGCAAGTTTTTTGGATGTGAAAAGTAATAAAAAAAAAATAAACAATGATAAAAACGTTATTTGAAAACAAAAAACTAAAACAATGAAGCAGATACTTATATATTCAACAACTAAAAGGAAATTAATATAATGTGGTGTACTATCCCTAGTAAATATTATATATTGCTTTTTATTTGTAAATTTTGTTTTTTTTTTCGATAAATCTTGGTTTTCAAATTTCAAATGTTTCTTTATAAAGAATGAGTTAAGAATTAATTTACAGTATTATATAGGTATACCGTATTTGCTCTCCCATATTTTGGTTACTATCTGCTACATATGTAATATTATAAATGGAATAAGTTATTTAAATATCAGGGGAAAATATTTGATTTTAAAAGCTACAAATCCTAAAATTTGAAACATGCAACTTGGTCACCACTATGCTATTCTGTTAAAAAACTAGAACTCGACGAAGAACGTATTGCTATTATAGCCTGGAACTTCAATTAAATCAAACTTTCATTCGATTTATTAGATTGAGCCTGTACGCTCTGACATCGCTGTGCTCGCCGTCAAACTCGTCGCTGTATTTATAATAATAAAGATAGCATGCTTCTATCCTTAGGGAACGCTTGTATCCGAGTTCATTAACATAAATAGGCTAATAAAGATGAATAGATTATTATAACAGTTATTTGACATTAAGGTAAGGACAAAGACAATCCTCGAATATTAAATTTGGTATTTGAAGAACTCGTTATCTTGTATCACAAATAGTACAAACCTTGACCTCATTGGTTAAGGTTTTTTACAATTTTAAAATTTTCACAATACACCGTCTCATATTTGACTGCTCGAGAACAACAATTGGCAAAGGTATGCAAATTTATTAGCTGCAACTGAATGTAATCTAATACTATGAGAATCTTTATCTTGACACACTGACTGATTCATAGACAATGCCCTTACGTACCTGCAGTACCAGGTACCTGCTGAACGCAATTTGATTATTTTTTTATAAACAAATTAAAAATTATTTCTATATTAGTTTATAATAATTTAATCAAATGGCATTACGTGTATTTTAATTTACACTATCATTTTGTTCAAAGAAAATACACACAGAAAAGGATTTAGAATATGCTGGTCTACATATAAAACTAACGTTTTTATATCGATAATCATTCCACAATAGGCTGAAAAGAGAAGAAGAGTATGAGGAATTATTCATTTACTTACATTCATATACGAAGATACTTTTATTTCAGATATCAATAGGCTATTGGAAATACTAATGTCACACCGACATAGTCACGTTCAAAAGCTAGTCTTCTATATATTTTTGTCAATTATGTCTTGTGTCACCAGTGTATGACGTAGCTTCTTTTTTAATTTTCAAAATTCTTTATAGACGGCAAGGGTGACTGACTGATTGATCTATCAAAACAGTTATGTTATATAATCAGCTTTAAAGTAGACGCCGATCACAGCACAGATGTTCATTTAAATAAAATCTACTTATTATTAAAAAAAATACATATTTTATTGCACCTCTATATTGTTACAACGCTGTGCTCGATGTCGAGTTTTGATTTTATTACAGAATATCAAAGCTGAACGGAATGAGCTGAACTTTGAAACAGTATAATTATAGTTAAACACCGGGTAGGTTATTTAATTACAAAGTTCCTAGGACACCTTTTAGATTATGGATAATATATGGGATCAAAGTCTTTGTCAGAAGAAATCAAACGAGACTAAATTAGAAGGGTGGGTTGTTTGATTACAGAGGTCTCGTGGCTACCTTCTACCTCCATCATCAGATCTGTTTCATTCCATATTAACATTGTATTGTCTTCTCATTTATATGTATGAAAGCTATATAAAGCGACAAATAGTTATCTAGAAATTTAGCTTATAAGATATAATAAACTAACTACCAAAAATTACACACATTTTGCCGACCATGGTTTATGTAAATGTTCTTACTACTGTTAAGATCCCTATAAGTAGTAGTTAAAAAGTATTGAATGATTCTATAGAGGTGTTAACAAATTGGGAACAAGACAGGAAAATGATGACTATGCATTAAATCACATACATAATAAAAAAAATGTATTTGAATTATTTTTGAACATGTTATTAGGAAATGTAACAGAGTCTAAAATGTGTCATAATTCTATTGAAATAAATTCTTAATAAGTTGAATAAAACTATGGATCTGTATCAGTTTCAAAATAATGTTCCACGCCTCACTAGAATATTTAAGAAAGAATTAAATTGAGTTTAGATAACATTATTAAAAAAGAGAAAACGTTTTAAAAAAACTCAGAAGAAAATAAAAATGTCAATCATATTTCCAATTGTTTTTTCTTTATTAATAATAAGAGAGAAAAATTTTGTTCATAAAAAATTAATACAAAAAACGAAAAAAAAGATAACCTAAAGCTGGAAAATGACACGCACATCGGACTGGCTCAGCCGTGATTAGATTAAAAATCGAATTTGTAGTAATATGAATTCAAATTAGATATGTTGATTTTTTTATTAAATTATAATAATCTGTCGCTTACCTTGGACGATGGTGATGACAACCAACAGTAACAAAGTTAATTTAATCATTATTCTCGTCGTTGTAATAAATAAACAAACGCTTTTATTTTTACTCGCAAACTTTGCGGAATCGTCGGTTGCGTGCGAATCCTCGATTAACTCTGATTCGATATGTGTGGGACTACACTTATATCGCGCGCGAATACACCAGTACACATAACGACATAATTAAACGAACACGTTGACAACACAATGGTACATACGACAATCGATCCTGTAAAGTGTTTTATGGTGATAACATTTTTCTTAACAACATTTTTCTAACTTCGCATAAAAATTAATTTGCCTTGCGTAAAAATGTATTTTCCGTGACTAAGAATTTAATACTTAACATTCCAGTGTTATAGTGATCTGTTTTCATTTGAATTTATCCTGCATTATTTTATAATTCATGGCAAATAATTCACACCATTATTTAATTTGAACTATCTCGAATTTCATCATCATCCACATTCTTTCGTCATTTGTCTAGTAATGTATTAAATTGTGGGAAATTTCTTATTAAATACTAAACAAATTAAGCGCAAATAATCTTCTGCAACGATAGCCTTTTATGAACACCTTACAGGTCAAATGTGGTTTTAATGAAGTTTTTAAAGTCAGTTGTTTGTTACACACAATTAATTCATATTCTTAATATGTACTCGTATTTATTTGGTAATGACACGATTTTGTAATCGCTACTTCTACTAAACTGGTTGAGTTTTTCGCTAGTGCTTGTTATCAATAAACCAAAAGGAGCCATGAATGAGCGGTAGCTAAAGAATGTTGGTTAAATAATAATTTTCTCTGTATACTACTACTAAAGATATTTTAACTTTGAAATCAATTAGTACAATAAGGATTTAAAGTTTTAATAAATTTATTAAAATAACTTATTCTATAATTAAAATATAAAAAACGAGCTGTTTCCAGTGACTTTGTCTGCGTAAATTATAGTAAAAATAAAAGAAATTGTTTCCTCTATACTAAATATCGATATTAGTGACAAAATTTGGGACCAGGCTTCCCTTCCTATACGCCTCGGAAGTCTAGGTTTACGCAAAATTTCTAGTGTTGCTCTTCCAGCATTTTTATCTTCGGTCCATAGCACCTATGACCTGAACAAAAAAATATTGTCTAAAACATCTTCTACTGCTGCTATCTCCAATATGGCCGAGGCAAAAACTGCTTGGGAGATATTATCTTAAAGCGATTTTCCAACAGTAATGTCAGCCCAAAAACATTGGGACGAGCCGCTCTGTAAATTGGTACGGAATAATCTATTAAACACATTTGCCAATTCTGCAGAGCATGTTCATCTCTTAACTGTCACTGAGTGGGATTCCGGTCTTTGGTTACAAGTCTTGCCGTCACCGACTGTTGAGACACTTCTAGATAATACAACTATCCGCCTTTCAGTTTGTCTTCTCCTGGGGGCCACTTGCGGTGAAACGGTGGATTCTTTAGGTCATTACGGATTATCTTGTAGCAGAAGTGCTGGTTGTATCTCTCGGCATGCAAGTATTAATGATATCATCCGTCGAGCTCTTGTTACAGCGTCAGTGCCAGCTATTCTAGAACCGAACGAGCTGACTCGCGACGACAATAAGAGACCTGATGGGGTGTCTTTGGTACCTTGGAGGACGGGTCCACCCCTAGTATGGGATGTCACTTGCGTTGATACTTTGGCGCCAACTCATCTTTCACGAACATGTCTTGAGGCGGGTGTAGCCACCGCTGCTGCAGAAAGCCTCAAACGGCGAAAATATTCAGATATAAATAATACCTACATGTTTGAGCCGTTTGGGGTCGAAACGATGGGTCCGTGAGGCCCTGGAGCCCATCGTCTTTATCAAGAGTTAAAAAAGAAACTTTTTGACAAGTCAGGTGATCAGAAGGCTGGTTTGTACCTGCCCAAAGAATTAGTTTGGCTATTCAAATACGAAACGCTCGCAGCCTTCTACCTTACCTGTTGGTAATGATCTGGGAGATATTTTTTATTTAGTATAGGCATTATTTTAAGACATAGTTTAGATAAGTAGTTTTAATTACTATTGTTGAATATATTAAAACCTTATAATTATATAATTATTAAATTAATATATGACAACTTTACTAAGTGAAATAATTTAAATATAGGATCAGTAGTTTCGCAGCCTATCCATTACAAAGAAACAAATATTTCCCCTTTATATTATTTGTAGTTGGCACAAAAGTAATGAGACACTTGGTTTAAGTTTTTACTTTTTTATTATTATTACAATAAAAAAAGTTTAGTCAATGATGTAATTACCATTAGTATCTAAGACTTCTTGCCAACGATCCGACAAAGTTTGGATGCCCAGAACTCTTATGGCTGTGCCTCGAAAAAGTTGTTCAACTCCGCCTCTACGTCAGAGAAATCATTAAATTGTTTACCCCGCAAATGCTGTTTCAGAGCTCTAAACAAATGATAGTCTGATGGGGCGAGGTCTGGGGAATAAGGTGGGTGGGGTATCGTCTCCCAGCCCAAGTTCTCCAACTGCCGGCGAACTACAGATGCGACGTGAGGTCGAGCGTTATCGTGCAGTAAAACTACATTGACTCGTCTTCGTCGTTTTTTCTTGATAGCGGCAGATAATTTGGTAAGCTGGGTTGAATATTTGTCAGCGTTTATAGTTTCATTGTGTAATAGCTCATAAAACAGTACGCCTTGCGCATCCCAGAAACAGCAAAGCAGAATTTTTCGGCGGTTCTTTTGACTAGGCTTCGGTTGAGTTGGTGGCGTTTCTTCTCGAGGCAGCCAAAAAGCACGACGTGTATCGTTCTCGTAATAAATCCATGATTCATCTCCAGTAACCAGATCTGACAAAAACTCTTAACGTCGGGGTCGCAGCAAAAGTGACTGACAGATAGCGACACGGACTGCACGACTGGCGTCTGTAAGGATGTGCGGTACCCACCGAGCCAAAACTTTTCGATAACCAAGCTCATGCAGATGGTGTTCCACGGCGTGGTGACTGCATTTAAGTGCTTCCGCTAATTCACGAGTGGTAGCATCCGGATTCAACTGCAGTTCGTGGCGCAAATCGTCATCATTCACTGCGGGTGGTCGCCCTGAGCGTGGCTGACTTTCAAGGCTCCTGTCTCCTGATTTAAAACGGTCAAACCATCGGGACACCGTCGCATGGCTTGTACTTCCAGCGCCTAATGCATTGTTGATATTGTCAGCCGCAGCCCGCGCACTGTGGCCTAACAAGTACTCGTATAAGAATAGTGTTCGAACTTGGCGCTCGTCCATTTTTCTTCAAACTGACTTAACAAATCGCGAGCGCGGCTTTATATACCCTACACCAGAAGTACCTAGAATGTTCTACAACATTCTAGATAGAATATTATCGAAAAAAATTGATTTTAAAAAGTAAATGTTATAGATTTTTCTAGTGTGTCTCATTACTTTTGTGCCAACCCAATAGATAAATATGTAAATAAATAAATTAGACAACAATAACAACATTACTCGGATTCCAAGATTCTAAGGGCCGGTTTCACCGGTTGCTGATAAAGTCCCTGATAGTCTATCAGGAACTTATCTGCCAGATAAACTACAACTTTTGGTTTCACAGGTCTCGGATAAAAATATCTGGCAGATAAAGTATTAGATATGTTATCAGCCGATTCAAGTGGCTGATAAAGACGTTATCTGATAGATAAAAAAAAAGTTTCAATTGACGGGAACGAAAATAGTTTTAGTTTTAGACCATTATTGTGTGCTTTGCGTCGATTGAAGTCACAAATATTCTAAAATGGATTTATTTGAGTTTTTAGAAGACGAATTAGATGAATATTTCGAACGTATTACGCGACCCCGTAGGAATCGAGTAATAAACCCTACATCTAATTATTGAGAATCACTTGACGATCAAGATTTTAGAAATCAATTTCGGCTTACCAAGCGGGCTGTTATTTATATTCTATCGTTAATAGAAAGTGATATAAAAACTACAACGGGCTATTTAGTAAAAAATCTCCGTTAACTAGTAAGTAAAGAAGCTCCGTTTGTTTCTTCTTGATTAAAATTCACACTTCTTTCACGTTTTTGTTTTTCCATTATTAATTAACAAATACGAAAATAATACACAAAGAAAAGTTTAAAAACTGAATAGTGTCTTAAGCACAAAATATCAACAAAGCAAAACAAATGATAGTTGCGTTTCGTTTCTGTAAACACGTAGCTAAGTATACGAATATCGTATTATTTCATTCTAGAATCATAAAATTATAATTCAAAATATGTAAAGTATAAGTATAAAAAGTTTACTTAAATAATATTGAACACAAAAAATAATATTAATTAAGTTTTAAAAATGATTTTTGATTGACGATAATTTGGGTCGTAGTATTGAAACGCAAAAAAGCGACGTTGCCGTTCCGTCAACTAATAAGTGGCCGATAACTTATCTGCCAGATAAATTATCTAGCAGTTTGATGGTGAAACAGAAAAAAGTTAACAGCAACCTTTATCCAGTAGATAGCGTTAACTATCAGATAACTATCTGAAACTTTATCAGTAACCGGTGAAACTGGCCCTAAGTCTAATATTGTGGAGTAACCGAGACAATGAAGGTACCGCATCACTCAGACGCGAATCAATATAAAAAGTTCATTTTCTAAATTAACTTGACGGAGAATCGAACCCGAGACCTCACAGATGGCGACACCTAGAAACAGGTCGGCGTGCGGATCACTCTAGTTTTTGTTGTTTGAATGATTAAGATGTCATTCGATAAGCTCTGTTAAAGAAAATCAATTGATTTGTTATGGTAAAGGTGTGACCTAGAAATCACATTAATAAATGAAATTACTTTTATGTAACGTCATCACTACTTTATGATATTTATTTAGTAAAATTTTTTTTTATGAATATAATGCATTATTTTTATTTACTTTTTATATGAATTAGTCTCATACAGGTTAAAAATTGGCAGGTAGGTCTCCATATTCAATCATCGTGTCGGAAATGTCCGTTACACTTTAAAAGATCAAAGTTAGGTTATGCTTTTTTGACAAAACGAAGCATCGAAATACCTGCCTTAAAAATTTCATAATATGATTACACACCCTTAATTGTTTTAAATAACAAATTATCTATCTATCCTAATATTATTCAGAAATTCGAAG